CATGGAAAATAGATGCAAAGCATTATATTTAGCAATGGCGGGGATTGTATAGTAATATCTGCTTGTAAGTACAATAGAGTATGCTCGAATTACATCTCGTCGCTTTCCAGATAAGTAACGCTACAGGAAAGGAAAGTAGATTAATTAATTTCTTACGAAAAGTGTACGATTTTTCTCAATACTGTATATAGATTCGGTTCGCGAGTATTGTACGACTTTATATAGTAATGCTCCTTATATATATACATATAATACTACGTTAAAGGCTTCCAGGCTGTGAAATATCGAAGCTATTGTTATCAATTAATCTTTGATAGCATTAAGTCATTGTAATCGTAAAAGAATTTTCTTTTTCTCCCCTTCCCGCCCGCCCCTACCCCCCCCCTCTTTCTCTCCAGTAATCGCCAAAATGTACATTTTGATATATCCTGCATATCCGCCGCCAACGTATTATACGCGACCGATATGCAATTATAATGTAACTTTATAAATGTTGCGTTTGGAAAGCTTGTATCACACACACACATACACACGCGGGATTTGTGTTTGCGCGAAAGAATCATATACTGTGTTAGAATCTACAAAGCTCACCCGGGGGCAATGGTATAAGGAAATACTTATGTCTTTCACATCAGTGACTGAAATTACTATTATCGATGTAGGGGAAATTACCTAAATACTTCGAGCAACGGTGTTTGGCAAAGTATATATATATATATATATATATACTTTGTATATATATATATGTGTATATATATATATATATATGCATATATATATATATATTTATATATACAAGCGGTTAAATTTCATTGTCCCTAAAAGCAGAGAGTTCATTAATGCAACTGTGTACATGTGTTCTTTTACACGCGAATTTATTTCGTGGACTTTTTTTTAATATATATCTCCCGTATAAATGAATTTAAACGAGATAAGATCGAAGCAAGCTATTAACGATACTGCACCTCATATCACTTTTATCTGTCCTCTCTCTCACAGACTCGGTATTCTGCCGGTAGTTAAACGTTAAACGTCGGAAAGCTGTTCGATACGTGTTCTTATTTTGTAGAGTAGAATTTTTATGGCTCGAATACGAAAGTACGGAATACGGAATTTAAGACCGTGCGAACCCTTACCACGTGTTACAGGCATTATATATTGAGAGAGATTCGAGCATGCAAATGAAATTCGGGCGTGCCATTGAACCTCCGTTCAATTTTTTGGACAGATATCTGAATGTTATCCTCCGAGAAAGCAACGTTCAAATTACATACACGAGAGTGGCATTCGTTCCGTTCAACTGATGCACATGTTATTCGCCGTAAAGTTCGAGAGATAGAGTCTGTTGATACAACTGAACAAATTGTCTTGAATGTGTCTACAGTCGAGTAAGATATCTCGTCGTACTCATACATTTAATCGACGCCAATCTTCCTCTAGGTAAAACATGTACGCTTTCGCTAACTCGGTATTCGATTTATCATAAAAATTAAAGAACATAGTATCTCCTGGGTTTTCCACATATATATATGGGTGACACATAATACAGCTCTCTTCCTCTCTTTAGTCTTTCTGTAGACTGTCACTTGCTCTTCTGTCTTCGTCAGACAGTAAAACATGTGAAAATGTAAGAAGTATATAAGTAAAGAAGAAATGAGAGAATACCTTTACGATCGAATTGACGATTTGATTGTGTACACTTTACTTTAAATTACTTTATATAAATACGATCTATATCTTTCAAAATTAATGATACTTTTTTGGGATACATTGAGAGAGAGAGAGAGAGAAGATCGGAAGAGCACACGTCTGAACT